ATATATATATATATATATAACTTAGCAAGCCCATACAAATCTTTCAACCCACCAAACACCAAAGGCCCAAATCCCAAACTCAGAATGAGTATTTGGATTTTGGACTATAAATCTTCCAAACTACATCAAACACCAATCCATCAATTTGATGATTTCTCAACATTTCAATTTACCAAAGACCGTGTGTTCATATATGCCTTCTGGTTATTTTCGTGTTCATATGGAAATCAATTCAAAGAAAAAAGCGTTTTGTGCTTCCACCTCTCTAATTTTAAGATTAATCACTTAATGAAAACGGTTCCAATTTGATTTCTCGAGCGAATCATTCCCTTCACCAAACTATTCCCACATTAGTTTCAGTTCTTTCTTCAAATCATAACTAACTATTCTTTTATATCCAATCAAGATTCGAGTCTCGGGAATAAATATTCACTGTATTTCTCCGATCTTTTAGAAAATTTAGTTGGACCAAAAGATCCCATAAACTTAAAGATTATAAAAAAAAACTATTAGTTTTTCTTATATTTAATAGATATAAGATGAAATCTCTTAAGAAAAATTTTAAATCAGAATAACAAAAATAATAAAACGACAAAATTGTAAGGAAAAGGACGGCAAGTATGGGCGTTAAAGCCGAAGTGTACGGAACTGTAATAAAGTCCAGAAATCCCTTCATCCCCTAAATCCGTCTACGTTCATTCTTCCCCTTTTTATTACACCCAAACACGTTGGAATTCACTTCGTTTTACAAGAAACGGACAATGCTCATGGATTCTTTCCCAAGAATCACAATTTTTCTTTAGAAATATCTGGAAAACTGACCCCAAGAACAAGCAGCGTTTTCTATGCATTTCCTCTTCAGTTCTGAGATTATCCAATTTGCTCGATCGTACCCTCCTGAGATTTCTTGTTTCCGGTATGTTTTCCTCTTCTTCGTTTTTGTCACTGTTTCTCGGGTCGGATTCTGGACTCTCTGTTTCTCTCTCATTTTCTCTCGCTTTCTCGCCATCCAAACAACACCTCGTCTGGACCTGAAAACTCAGAGGTTTTATTATGCGCTCTGATTTCCGGTTTTGTTTCGGTTTGCATGTTGGTTCTATCATCGATTTTGGTTCGGTTAGATTCTCTTCGGTTTTTGTTCTGTTTCTCTCTCATTTACACACCGGTAATCTAAGATAACCGTCTTCATCTGTTTTGGTTATACATTCATGGTTATGACTTTCGTATTTGATATATCCAATCCGAAACCGTTAAAAACTGAAAATTGCTGCTCCGGTTATGTTCTTAGACCGGTGAATTTCACTCGGTTTGCAAACATTGAACCGGTTCATAAAATTGCAGGAATCAGCCTAACACAGAGATGGTGTTCTGGGTATTTGGATACGGCTCACTTCTCTGGAACCCGGGATTCGAATACGACGGCAGGATCATCGGCTTTATCAAAGACTACAGACGCGTATTCGATCTCGGTACCACGAAAAAGCTTGAACCTTTCAACGTTCTTTTCGTGTTTCGGGTTTCACCCGACATCTAAAATGGGGAGATCAGATCAGATCATATCAGATAATCAATGTCTGTTTTATTTTTGGTTATGTATAATTTTCGGCAGTCTGCATTGATCACAGAGCATCCAGCAAGAATTTGCACTTTGGAACAATCCGAAGGAGCTATCTGCGTAAGTGTCTACATAATATCCAATCTGTTTCGGACATTTACCGAAACAGAAATATGAGATTGATCAGAACTGAATCATGGGGTTTTGGACAGTGGGGAAGCGCTTACTGTGTTCGTGGAGGACCCGAGAAGGAGAGATCAGCGATGGAGGTAATCTATGCATCTTGCCCTCTTGATCTGATTCACAAAGGAATTCCGGTTTTCCTCTGTTCCACCTGATTCTTGAAGCTCAAGAGATTAGTGTTTGGTCTGAGATTGCTTGTTCTCGTTGCAGTATCTGGAAAGAAGAGAATGCGAATACGATTCCAAAACCCTCGTCGAGTTTTACACCGTAAAAACACATAAAATCGCATTGGCTATGTTAAATGTATTCGGGTTAACATTCTCAATCGGATTTGGTTCTGTTCTCGTCCTCTGCAGGAAGCTGATGCCACGAAACCGATCTTGACCGGAGTTATAGTGTATGTTTCCTTCTCTCTTTTTTATCTATTTGATGAATTCGCCATTACTCCATGTGAAATCAATATGTTTTCCTTTGCAGGTTCACGTCGACTCCGGACAAAATCTCGAACAAGTACTATTTAGGACCAGCTCCGTTGGAGGAGATGGCGAGGTACAACCAAATTTCACCTGACTTCTCTGTTCTTTTATCACAAAAGATTACACAGATAGACGCAAGAACAACACTTCGATCCAACTATACGTTCAAAATCTGGTTCGTTTTTCAGCCAAATCGCAACGGCGTCTGGACCTTGTGGGAATAACCGGGAGTATCTTTTTCGGCTGGAGAAAGCAATGCATGACATTGGTAAGAACACGTTGAACAATTTGTAAAACAAAACACGATTTCGAGACCGAATCTGACGTACTTTTGGTTTTGGTTTCTTCGCCGGCTGTCGTGGTGGATCGCAAAAAGGGCACGAGGAAGAGTACGTGATCGAACTGGAAGGTGCTTGTAAACGCGACAAAGGAAGCAAGAACGGTTCCTTCGACTGCGTCTGCGACCGCAAAAGGGGCAGTCAAACGGCAAACGCATCTCCCGGCAGCTGAGCTGCGTTTGCATCGCGAAACCATGGCGGTCGCGGTGGCAGTTACGAGGGATTCGTAGGATTCACTTTTGAGCTTTTATCGTTTAACTGGTCAGATAACCAATAGACGACGAGGATTTAACACTGTTTTTTTTTCTTCCAATTTTTTCTTAAAGTCGGAAACTTTATCTGAAAATTAAAGTGAAAGTTTGAACCTTTGCCAAGAAAAACTAACAGTACTAAATAAAAACAAGAACAAGGATTTCATGTGTGGGCCCCGTTGTTGACCAACTGGTAGAGATCAATGGAAAGGCTTTGTCCTAAGATTGAGCAGAAGCATTTAAAAAGAGATACAATGTGCAAGAAAGTGACCTAGAAGCAGCTTCTTCAATGGCTTTTCAGCCATGGCAGAGAGCTTGACACATCTCGAATCTAAACTGAAAATTGCTGAAAACGAGAAACACGAAAACGCCCACCAAGAGAAGTCAATCGAATCGCGAAATCAACGGAAACCCACAAAACCTGAAGCGAAAAAGGGAGCACCTTTTGTCAATCAAGGCGTCGGGAGAGGAAGCCGTCCATGGTCGAAGCCGATCGGAGTTCGCGGGGGTGACTGCTGGTCCGATCTGAGAGGCGATTTGGGGACGAAGATGGATTTGACGGAGATGGGTTCCGGGTGGAGAATCGAGCGAGAAAGGGGATTAGGGTTTCTTAAGATTCTTCAACTCAACGGGTGATGATGATGAAATCGCTGATTTCATTTCATAAAAGTTCGAACACAATAGTGTCTCGTCAGATAGTTATACTCAGACAGTTAGGAGGTTGTTCTTGATCGTCAACATGAGTTTTCCGACATAGCCATTGAGTAAAATGCCCCCCCAGATGGGTGATGAAAACAAACAGATATAATATGCATTGCCATATATATATATATATAATCTTATTGGGGCTTTAGTTTTATTTTTAATACTATTGGGGCCATATCATCATATTTCAAAATTCAGAGGTTTGAATTGAAAAATTGGAATCCTGGAATAATTAGGAAGAAAATCCGACAAAAAAAATTCGGCCCAATTTAGGTATATTCTCCTTTTCCTTTTTGTTTCGATTTTTTTTTAATAACGGAAGATCCCTAATTGCTGCTCTTTGGACGTGCTGATCAGGTAAACCTTCGGTATGGGAGCAGCTTTTTTGTTTCGATTTTTATTTTCATAGATCATTTTCATTAAGGGAAAAACGTTAAATATCTATCAAACATTATCAATTCGAGAGGAAATGAAATCTGTGGTACTATTTTATATTTTTACTCTTTTGGTGAACTAATTGACGATATTATGCAAAAATTGAATCGATATTAATATTAAATTGAACGCCAATAAGGATTTTTAACACTTGATTTTGTTATAGCATGATATAGTTTTGTTCAAACAAAAATTGATATATTAGAAATGATACTTTCAGCAACAAATCAATTCGGAGATGGTTAATTTTAAATTCCATATTGATCTAATAAAAGATAATTAGGAATCTATACACTAAATTTTGGTATATTAGAACATACTTTAGAAAAATAAAAATAATATCTGTAATATATTTATTTATATATTTAGATTTTAATATTTATTTTGATAGCTGGTCTCTATTATATATTTTCCATTAAAACGAGCAAAATCTGTTGCATAGTATTAGTCAGTAACCAAACTATTAAAAAAATAAATATTTTGACAAAGATTTAAACATGAGATTTTAAAATAAATCATCTAATTTAGAAATGTAGGAGGAGGGCATGACCGTGGACGAGATATCACCGGCGCCGGGAGAACAAAGGTTGCGCCGGCGGTCAAATCTACCGGAGAGGGTGCCACGTGGCAAGATCATAGAGGGGAAAGAATGATAATGAGATATGGTGGTCGCTTCCCCATCTGATTATTGCTTGGGCCTCTAACCACGGACTCTTCCACATTTATTAAATCCGCTTAATATTTTCTTTCTGGTTCCGTCCTTCACATCCCTCTCTCTCTCTCTCTCTCTCTCTCTCTCTCTCTCTCCGAATTTCCTGAGCAGGTCAAATACTTTTCTCGTCTTTTCCCTCCATTTGCTCTCTCCCTCTCTCTCTCTGAGCTCTTAAGTGAGGTTTCGGGTCTGATGGACGGAAGCGGCGCGTACAACCCACGCACGGTGGAGGAGGTGTTTAGGGATTTCAAGGGTCGTAGGGGCGGGATGATTAAGGCCTTGACCACCGGTAATTTTTTTTCTTTTTTTTCCCACTTCCGGTCCAATCCTTCGCTTTTCTGTCTGCATCTGACGTTTTCTTCGTTTTCCCTCTTATGGAATTCGCTGTTTGTTTATTCATGGTTACGCTTTCATTCTGGGTTTTTTGGGAAACTGACTGTTTTTTGTCCGCTTTTTGCAGATGTCCAGGAGTTCTACCGACAGTGTGATCCCGGTTAGTGTTTTTTTTTTTCCGATGGGTTTCTGGTTTTCCATGCTTACGTAGATGAAAGTTGCGAGATTTTTTTTTCTGAAGATTAAAATTTTCATCTCGTTATGTTTTTTCAAACTGGTATGTCGGGGTGAAGAATTAGGGTTTTGTGGGGTTTCCTTTGGTTGTGAAGGGAGTGTTTCTTCAATGGATTTTTTGTTAGCTTGACTTTGAATTGTTTTGAAACGAATTAAGTAGGAGGGTGGGTCGCGGAGACAATGATGGATTCTCTGTTTGACTTGGTTGAATTCAGTTTTTAAGTTCTGCTTTTTGAATTTTTGTTTTTGTTTTTGTTTGATAATTTCTGTCCAAAGTATCGTTTTGGGTTTACCCCGAGGTGTCTAGCTTTAGCATTTTACCTGAGAAATATTTACTTTGTAATGAAAGAGCTCTTGAGTTGATTCCTCTGGCTCGGTCGGAGTATTGCACTCTGAGGTTTCAACCGCTGCTTAAATTGGCCAATGATGCACATTCGGCTCCCGATTCTGTCTTCATGGAGAGGTGTTGTTTTACGTCATTTTGGATGGTCGATTTTCTGAAAAGGGCAGTCTGATTATTCCTTGATTTTATGAAAAGACTATACGAAGATATTATCGATATTCATTTCGATTCGAGGAATACCCAAAATGGTTTACTTCCGTATATGCCTTAGATTCTTCTATTGACGTGTTATTTGGGCTAGTAATCTATGAAAGAACGTGTGCTTTATGTTGTTGTTCTTATGCCTATTTGGTCTCACAGTGTTATTTCCTCATTTGCCTTGTGGCTTGTGATTACAGAAAAGGAGAACCTATGCCTTTATGGACACCCGAATGAGCATTGGGAGGTGAATTTACCTGCTGAAGAGGTTCCCCCCGAGCTTCCGGAACCTGTTCTCGGCATCAACTTTGCCAGAGATGGAATGCAGGAGAAGGATTGGTTGTCTTTGGTTGCGGTCCATAGTGACGCATGGCTTCTTGCTGTTTCTTTCTTCTTTGCAGCTAGGTTTGGATTTGACAAAGCTGATAGGTGAGAGACATTCTTCACTCAACCTTTTCACAACTGGAATCTCTTCTGTCTTGTCTTAGTTGTCTCGGTCCTGTTTTCTCTGATTGGCTGCAAGGGAAGTTGAAATATTCCACGCTTCACCGCTTTTCAAGGACTTGTGTCTCTCACTTGCCAAATTGATCTTTATGCAGCTTTTGCTAATGGGACTAACACTCCTTTTTTGTTGTTGCAGGAAACGGCTTTTCAATATGATCAATGACCTCCCAACTATATTTGAAGTCGTCACTGGCAGCGCCAAGAAACAGACAAAGGAGAAATCTTCAGTATCCAACTTTAGCAGCAACAAATCCAAATCGAACTTCAACTCCAAGGTAAGGGGTTTGTTCCGCCGCATTTCCTATCTACGCCTTAATGCCAAAAATGTAGTGGCTTCTTATGGCATGAGCTAACTGTCCATTTTTGGTGTGGGTGTGACAAATCTGATACGTCTCTGCACAGAACATGACAACTTGTCTGCGTCAATTGCACTATTCTCATGCCATGTGACTAAATGCTCATTCTTTCTTGATTTTCCTTCTAAACCTACAGCGTGGGTCAGAGTCACGAGGCAAGTTCTCCAAGCCAGTGACCAAGGACGAGGAGGAAGATGAGGGTGTGGAAGATGAGGAAGATGAAGAGCAAGGGGAAACACTATGTGGGGCATGTGGAGAGAGCTATGCGGCTGATGAATTCTGGATCTGCTGCGACATTTGCGAGAACTGGTTCCATGGAAAGTGTGTCAAGATCACACCAGCGAGGGCTGAACACATAAAGCAATATAAATGCCCGTCTTGCAGCAACAAGAGGGCTCGATCCTGATCATAGTGTCCCATCTTTGTTCCTCGCCTTGCCTCCCTGTGTATTCCTTTGGCATGATGGACAACTAACTCTCTGGTTTAGATCAGGTTTGTTCGTAGAGACATGTGATTTGGTAATGGTAGGCTTAAGTCCCTTCTCTCTTTCAGCATTAAGAAGCTAAGTTAGCAAGCCACAGGAAATCAATCGCTGGCTTAGGAAAACAACAATAGAGCTCTCTGGCTGGAAACGGTCTGGCCAAATTCTTGTCAATGGCGATTGAAGGAAGGAACCTTGTGTTTATATATTTCCAAGTGTTTGTTGCTCTGTCTTGTGCTGTTTTATGAGGGAAGAACACATTCTGTAGTTTCAGACTCACCCATGGAGCCGGTTTTGGATTCAGAGACACCACAGGTTGCTGATGCGAGTTACAGGGCTGTTCCTGTGATTGGTCCGTTCACCGGATTAGAACCTGATCTGGTGTACACTTTGGGATTAGGGTGTTGGGTTTTTGTCCTGAAGGGGTTAATTAGCTTGCCGAATGACAATGGAAAGGTAAATGTTCATCATTGGTCGGATAGGGTTTAGATTCTATTCTCAAGGTAAGATGACAAGTAGTTGTATCTTGTCCGGTTAGGGTTGTGTTTGACTTTATAGGTCATTGTTTGCATCATATTCGCAGTTTAAGATAGGAGTCATCATGGTGTAAGCTAATCGTCTTCAACTATAGATCAGGTAAGGATATGTGGGCACTTGATCTCGTTCCCTAGCGTTTCACAACTTGACTACTTGGTCTCGATCGTGTGAGGAGCGTATATCCGAGTTTTCGGGTGTTCACGGGTCTCTCACCAGGTCGAGGTCGCCTTCTCTCTCCCTCTCCCTTTGGCATTGGATATTCCATAGATTCGGGTGCATGCGCTTAGGTCAGGTTGGTATTTGATTTGTGGTTAGAATTGGATGAAAAATTGATCATTATCATCATCACTCAGCTGGGTTTGATTTATTACATTTAACTATGCAATACAAGAAACAGAAACCCAAAAGGACAGAGCACAAGTGCTTGTTCGTCATCATCTGTCATTGTACTCGTAGGTTGTTGCAGACATGGACATGGAAACCCATCTTGGTCCTAACCCTCTGTAACAGGCCTTTGAGCCGAGAGAGACACCGATATCTTCCGTCAAGGCCGACGTAGCGTCTGAGTCCGGACCAGAATGATGCCCACCAGGCCGCGTTTGGTACTCATTGGCCCGTCTGCACTCAGAATCCTTCCGAAGGCATCCATCCCATTTGCTGCACTCATGTTTATAGTATGTATACGTATAGGAAAGTTGCAGGAGAAACGGATAAAGTGTTGGAATATACAACTGTAAAAAAAAGTTGTACGATTTAGAATTGACAAAGATTAATTCGTTCTAGAAAATCACGTTGACACAATAGGATTTACTTTCGGACAGTTGTATTCGGTTCCAAATTTATTTAAAATATTATATTTCTACTCAGTTTTAAATTACTTTTATATTTATTTTGACTGACGAAATTCGATTTATTTTGATTTTTTATGAATCTAAATAAAAACTGAAAGCCTAATAGAATTTGTGTTTTTTATTAGTCTAATGTCATTCGATTTATTTAACGTAAATTTTATGGGTGGCCCACATGCTGCAGATATATGTATATCAATCCATAGAATCTTCCTCAGGCTTCTTTCGAATTCTACACAGAAAAATCTAGAAAAGCCTCAAAAGTACCACACCCTCTCCACTTCTCCAGAAATCTCCAACCCACGTATATATATATATATATAGTATATACGCATATGTCCGTATGCACGCACAACACAGACTCGGAGCAAAAACATACAGCAAGAAACACCAAAAGGCAATGGATTTCGGAAGGATGATGATGGAATCGCCCATATTCACAATCCTGGAGGACATGCTAGACGTGCCGGAAGAGCACGAGAAGACTCGCAGCAACCCGTCCAGGGCTTACGTGAGGGACGCCAAGGCAATGGCGGCCACGCCAGCGGACGTGATCGAGCACCAGAACGCGTATGCGTTCGTGGTGGACATGCCCGGGATCAAGCCAGAGGATGTCAAGGTTCAGGTCGAGAACGAGAACGTCCTTGTCGTGAGCGGAGAGAGGCAGAGAGAGAAGAAAGAGGAGAAAGAGAAGGAGAAGGAGAAGAAGGAAAGTGGGGTTAAGTACCTGAGGATGGAGAGGAGGATGGGGAAGTTCTTGAGGAAGTTCCAGTTGCCGGAGAATGCGAATCTGGAGAAGATAACTGCGGTCTGCAATGATGGGGTTTTGAAGGTTACCGTGGAGAAGCTTCCTCCGCCTGAGCCTAAGAAGCCGAAGACTATTCAGGTTCAAGTTGCTTGAGCTCTTTTCGAAACCCTAGCTTCTGCTATGGTTTTATGGGTTTTTATTATGCGCGTGTGCGTTGTTTGTGTGTGTGGGGGTTTCTGGGTTTGGGTTTGGGTTTGGGTTTGATGTGATGTGAAAAGAGAGAGAGATAATGCGTAAGAGAAAATGAATAAAGGTTGAAACTTTTCTGTTACCCTTTTGATGTTCCTCTGATCCCCTGTAGCAGCTGCTTCTTACGAGCAAACAGGAAGAATCACCACCGAATGTGAATTAAGAAATTTTAGAGCCTGGGTTTCCGAGTTGGTTAAACTAACATTGGATCTGGGGGGATTTGTACGGAGCATAAGCCAAACTCTGAACATACACCAAATCTTTGCAGACGACAACATAGGGTATTGCCTGAACAAAAGGATGCCATAGCAAGTGATGCAGATCAATGCTGTAAACAAGAAGAAGAAAACCACAACAGAAACCAAGTATATGAATCAGTGAAAACAACAGAGAAAATAAGAGATGGCATAAGTTAAACCAAATTCTCATCCTAAGAAGTACCAGTAAGCTCGGCTCAGAATCGAAATGGGATGAACGTTGAATTCGGTTCATATTCTTCGAGCCTTGATGATACGAGAGCAAACAGACATTCACCATTTCCCCAAATTCAAGAGCAGAACTCAAAGATCCAAGTGGAATAACCCGAAACTCAAAATTTGCTCGGGAACCAAACAGATTCCTAAGTAAAATCTTGCAATTGATCGTCTCGCAGACAAGAGAGAAGGTTGCGCGTTTGTCGCGAAGAGAAGAGCTGCAGACGAGCGACTTGAAGGCAACGGCGAGCCGCTCGGCGTCGCAATTGAGAGCGAATCGGAGAATACTCTCTGCTTCTCTTGTAGCGAAGGAAGCTGATCTATCGGCTCCGGAAGTGGTTCTTCGCCGGAGATTTCCCGGTGGCTCGCGGCGGCGCGTTTGCTATTGCCACGCGCCATGACTCTTCAGAGGGGAAACCTCCCAAATCTTCAACCATCTCGTAGACGGAACGTTGGGTGGGGAGCTCTGAAGAAACGCACCGTTTTGAACGTTAGGGAACTCGAACTGAATAAATATCGAGACGAATCTCCAAACGGCCGCCTATCTACAAATGCTCCCTTCAAGGATGGAAAGCGCGTTGTTTTTCAGCATAAGACCGGTGTGATGTTCTTGTATTCAATTAACGAACGGCAAGATGTTCTTCTAATAATATTATTAACACGATTTTTTTTTCTCAACAATTTGTGGATTCTATTCTAATTTCTATCCGATTACGTATGTTAGTGTTACTAGAACAAAATAATTTAATAAAAAAATGAAAATAGTTTTATACATATATATTCCCGTTTATTCTAGTAATATAGATTTTGTTATAATAAAATTATGCTGACTTAACCTTCTTTTACTTTTATATTCTATTATTTTTTTCATTTTGGAAATATAAAAATTCCATTTTGAATTATAACGGCTTAAAACATGGTATTATTTTGCAAAAATTACTATGATTAGAAGCTAATCCCTTGAACACTATACAACCTAATTATGACAGAACAATAGCCTTCAAAAACCAGAAAAATCCCTGATTAATTTTAAATGTAAAATAAATTATTTTTCATAAATCGAGGTTTGACTTTTTGACTTTTGACTGAAACAGAGGTATTTATCTTTATATTATAAAGGGTAATTTTATCCATATGTCCTATATTTAGTCCCACTTGATCTAAAAATAGAACGGGGAGAAATGACAGATTTCACATAAAATCTGCCTCCCGCCATTTTCTCTCTCTTTCGTGCTTCTGAAATTGTTTTCCTCCATCCTTCTTCCGCCATTGACGCGCAGGGCAAGGCAGAGAAAGGAACAATCAGTCTCGTTCTTCGCCATCTCCTTTTGATTCCTCTCTGTTCTGTTCTCTCCTCGTGTCGCCGGAATAGCTGTACCCGGCGGGACCGAAGTTTTGCGGTGGCTAGTTTTCGGTTGCGTTCTTATTATCCTTACTCTTCTTCCATCCTCTCCGTAGATCAATGATGTCTCCGCTGTATTCGTCTGACGACAGCCACTCTCCGGGAAATTCGACGGTCGTCGCCATCGACAAGGACAAGAACAGCCACTACGCCGTTCGTTGGGCGGTAGATCATCTCTTCAACATGATCAACAATAGCAACATTATTCTCATCCATGTCCGTCTCAAAAACCCAAATCGTAGGTACCTTCTTCTCTTCAGTCTCCGTGACCCTACTGGGTTTTTCAAACTATCGGAACGAAGCATCCATTTGGGTGTAGAATTATGTCAATGTATGTTCTTTTCTCGTTTTTGGTAACGCTGCCGTGAATCATGATGTTGTTGAGAAATTTTCAGACGGAGGCAACGGGACGAACCGAGAGAATGAGGACATGTCCAACCTTTTCGTTCCGTACAGGGGATATTGTGCCCGGAAAGGGGTGAGTTCCTTCTTCTGTCTCACTCGGGCATTTCATCGAGCACTTGGTATACTAGATTTCGTAACGGAAACTTAACCCTTTTCCTCGTTTCTTCAGATTCGTTTGACGGAAGTTGTTCTTGAAGACACCGACATTGCGAAAGCAGTCTTGGATTACGTGAACAAGAACCTGATAAACAGTCTCGTGCTGGGAGGGTCGTCGAAGAACCCATTTGCGAGGTCTCTCAAGTTCAGTAAATCCCATGACGTGCAAGCAAACGTGCTGAAATCGGCACCCGAGTTTTGCTCGGTGTATGTGATCTCTAAAGGGAAAATTCAGACAGCCAAAACAGCTCAAAGGCCTATTAGCAATACCGCTGCCCCTCCTCGTGTACCGTCTTCTGGATATGTTCTCCAGTCTTTATCCGACAGCGAGCAAGATGAAGGATCTAGGTACAGAAAACTCGGTTTCTTTCTGGTGTTTTCTTGTTATGGTAGCTGAACTCTAACCTTGAATGAAATAAACGTATACAATCAAGCACATATGTCCTTGAGACTAGAAAGAAAGTGCAACCCTGCATCTAGATTTTGTGCTAAATTCAGTTTTTTAATCTCCTGGAAGTTCAGATGTTGATGTTGATGTTTGCAGATAGTGCTTACTTGGCTGTAACTTTAGGTTGTTATGAGCATAGATGTTTTGATGTGTAATTGTGTATCATTTTCTTCTCTTTCATTACATGGTCACTGAGTCTTGGATGTATCTTTGAGACATTGCAGGAGACAGCGGAATCTAAGGAACATGGCGCAAGAGAGATATCCGCACGATAATACCACAAAAGCAATTCAAGAGAGGCATAAGAGTCCTACAGGAGGGTCATTGGACCTTAATTATGATATGACACAATCTCTGTACCAAAGAAACAACACGAACCGAAGTTCATTTTCCAACGACAATGATGATGGATCTTCCATGATGGGTTCCATTGACATCTCTTCTCAGAATTTAGATTTCATGAACGCGCCTCCTGAAGAACCACAATCTGCTGTAAGTTTAGGCTAAAACAGAACAAATTTCTGAAAATGATGAATCTGAAAAAGTAGGATTGCATCAACTAAGTCTTCGGGCGCCTAATTGCAGAGAGAGATTGAAGCTGAGATGAGAAGGTTGAAGCTTGAACTCAAGCAAACCATGGACATGTACAGTTCAGCGTGCAAAGAAGCACTTACGGCCAAGAAAAAGGTAAAACCTAATAGGTGAACCAGAAGTTTTAACGTAACAGAACTAAGGTTGTATTTGTTGCATCCTAGTACTGATGGTTCTTTGCCAGGCCAATGAGCTTCATCAATGGCAAATGGAGGAAGCTCGGAAATTTGAAGAAGCCAGGCTCGCTGAAGAAGCGGCCTTGGCCATTGCAGAGATGGAGAAGGCCAAATGCAGAGCTGCCATGGACGCAGCTGAGAAAGCACAGAGGATGGCGGAGCTGGAATCGCAGAGAAGGAAGCAAGCTGAGATCAAAGCTAGAAGGGAGGCAGAGGAGAAAGACCGTGCCCTGAATGCTTTGGCCCATAACGATGTCCGGTACAGAAAATACACTATAGAAGAGATCGAAGAAGCCACAGAGAGATTTGCAAACCATAACAAAATAGGGGAAGGTGGGTATGGACCAGTGTACAAAGGCAAACTCGATCATACTCCTGTTGCCATCAAAGTCTTGAGACCTGATGCTGCTCAGGGAAAGAAGCAATTTCAACAAGAAGTAAGTATAATTTGCCTTCGTAAAAAAAAAAAAATCCGGAACTTTTCCTCACAGAGAACATATGTCTCACTTGTATGATATTCCTCCACAGGTTGAGGTTCTAAGCTGCATAAGGCATCCCAACATGGTCCTTCTCCTTGGTGCATGTCCGGAATATGGGTGCTTGGTGTATGAATTCATGGAAAATGGAAGCTTAGAAGACAGGCTCTTTCGCAGAGGAAACTCACCTCCGCTTTCATGGGGGAAACGGTTCCAAGTAGCAGCAGAGATCACTACTGCCCTCTCGTTCCTTCACCATGCAAAGCCCGAGCCTCTGGTTCACCGTGATCTAAAACCAGCCAATATACTCTTAGACAGAAACTACGTGAGCAAGATCAGTGACGTCGGTTTAGCAAGGTTAGTCCCAGCATCGGTAGCTAATAGCGTCACACAATACCACATGACATCTGCAGCAGGAACGTTCTGTTACATCGACCCCGAGTACCAGCAAACGGGCATGTTAACCACGAAATCGGATATATACTCACTCGGGATAATGCTGCTTCAAATCATTACTGCCAAGCCTCCGATGGGTCTTGCTCACCAGGTCTCGAGGGCCATCGAGAAGGGAACTTTCCGGGATATGCTTGACCCGACCGTGCCTGATTGGCCCGTTGAAGAGGCTCTAGCTTTTGCTAAACTCTCCCTTAAATGCGCGGAGTTAAGGAAGAGAGATAGACCAGATCTTGGAAAGATCGTAGTACCAGAGCTTAACCGGTTAAGAAAACTCGGTAAGACCGCGGATTCAGGCCATATTCTCGGCCATTACCATCAGAACCGAAGCCGACTTCCACCGACAAGTCCAAGGTTGTCTAATCCATGTCAGGTACGCGTTATCAATCTGCCAGTTCTGGCAATCTAAGAACAAATCTCAGATTCTTACACTGAATATGTTTGTTTATCTATGTGGATCATAAGGATGGGAAAACTACCAATGAAGACGGAGGAACTGAGCCTGAAGATGCAGAAGCTGCAGCGTCTTAGTGCCAAAGACATTGGCAATAGCAGCAAGAACTATGTTAAAACCCTAGAGAAGAGATGGAGATTACTTGTTTCGCAAGAAAGAGACAGGGGAAGTGCCAGGGAGAAATTGAACAGCCAAACCCTAGCTAATGCATCTCCACAACTTACTGATACATCTCAGAAGCTTCTCGAAGCTTCCACACTTCAAAGGTATATTTGACTATTTCACTTGTAAGTTTTTACTGCTGTAGCATTTTCGCGATCCCGTTGGACTCATGAATTGTGAAGCAACTTATGTCTAATTGTTAACTTGTAAAAACAGGTTTATTTTTGTTTTACTGGTAATCCGAACTTAATTTGAAGATTTAAAAAATTCGTAATAATATTAAATATAAACTAAATAATAACAACTTTTAATATTGTATACAAATGGTTTATATTATCTAATTATTCGTTCTAAATTCTATCTGGTACCACTATTATCATGCCCGTTTTTTTTTTGTATTTTGTATTTATAAAATACTTGTGGAATCCACATGACCAACTTAGAAAGTAAAGGATACAGTTGCAAAGTGTGGAACTTTGTCATTTGTTCAGAATTTATGCCTCAGAAAAAAGAGATTGGATTGTCGATGGAGAAAGGTATATCCCAACTCGTTTAAATTTTAAATCAAAATTAAATAACCTATTTGAGCCACAGACCATGCTTCTATATCATATAAAAAAAATACATGCCATTAATTTGGTTTGATTAGAAATACATATATACAAGTAACACTAATTTTCATGTTTTTTTATATAAAATAATTAAAATAACTACAGCTAATCTTAATTATCTTTACTGTGAGAGAGATGCATGTGGAATTTGATTTTATAAAAATATAAAATCATTTTGAATAAATAACAATAAACAGGTACACGAAAATTAGCTTGGTTTTATAAAGTATAAAGTAATTTTAACTTGATGATATTAGCGTGGTTTTATTATCAATACAATAATATAATTGGGCCAGTTGGCATCACATATAGATATGGATTGTGTAACTTTGATTATATTAACATTTTTAATGTACGAATTAAGAAAAAAGATCCGTTAAAAAATGTATTGCAAATTGTACCATATGATTATTGAGCATAATTAAATAATTTTCACATAAAATCGACATATATCAACAATTACATTCAAACATATATGGGATTGACATTGCATGTAAGATCTTACTTGTCTCCATAGTTTTATATATATATATATATATATAAGCGTAAATGAGGTTGAAACTATATAATACTATTCTTTTTTCACTTTCAAGCATGGCACAACGTTCAAGAAAGCATCTTCATATCAAACCTTAATTAGTCACCTCTCTTTTATATATTCATGTCCGATTTAACATATGAACACGACATAACAAGTAACCCTCACACCCCCGCCCCCCAAAAAAAATCGAGACTTTGGTGGAAATTCACGAGATTTATGCGAATTCAAGCAAATGGGTTTTGAAATAAGGTCATATCTCATCATGGGCATGCTCATGATGATCGTTCCATCATTCTCCCATGCCGATCAAGCAGATGTGACATCCCCTCTCTGCGTCAGCGAATGCGCCACGTGTCCCTCCATCTGCTCTCCACCTCCATCTCCGCCTCAGTCTTCGTCCTCTTCATCTTCATCGTTGCCGCCGTTACCACCGCCATCACCGCCACCGCAGCCCCGCAAATACCCACCGCCACCACCGTCACCACCGCAGCTTTCACCGCCGCCGTTGATCACGATCTACCCCGGACCACCGCCGGCGTTTTATTACTTCCAATCCACACCACCGCCGGAGTTTTATTACTTCCAATCCACGCCGCCGCCTCCGACGCCGCAACGTCCACCGCCGCCGCCGCCGTCACAGACTTCATCCACCGGGAAGAAACCGCCGCCGCAGCCGCAAGGGGGCCAACCGACTTACTCGTTCCCTTACTTCTATTTCTACACATCATCATCGAATGCCTCTGCCGTTTCTTCTCGTGCACCTTGTTCGTTTCTTTTCTTGGTCTTCGTCTTGTATTTGTTCTATACAGTTATTTTTTGTTAGTGTGAAGAAACACACTTATTATTTCTATTGCTTTTGTTATGTATATTTTCTATTAGGTTCTTATGCTACCATGTAATAATTCGTTTGATTTGGTTTTGTCACATTATTAGATTATACGGTCCGTTGATGTTATAAATGATAATCAAATGTTATTTCATATATATATATATATAGGGGTGTCAATAGAACCCGAAGTCCAAACCCGGCCCGAAACCCGTCCGAAAAATTAAGGGCTTGGGTCTAATTAATAATATAGATCCGGTAAATAAATAGACGGGCCGCCCCGACCCGAAAAAAGTTAGGACCGAATCGAGTCCAGCCCGAAACCCACCCCATCCGCCCATTTAGCCCGAAAAAATATTATATTATTAGATTTTTACTTTAATTTGAGATTTAATACCACACACCATTATATAAAAACTTTTATTTGTATGTTTTATATATATATATATATATATTTATATTTATATTCCAAAGCAATTTGATTAATATATATCAAACTTATACTATATATATATATCATTAAACAGTT